CACACACATTTCCCCTTCATTTTTGGAGGGGGGAAAGTGCATCCTGTAGGGCGAAAAATACGGTACTTACCCACTACAAATTTGTCTAAATCAGGGGTCAGCAGCCTAAGGTCCATGGGCCGGAAGTGGCCTGCGGAGGTCATTTGACCGGCCCCCGAGCCGCCCCCGAACTGAGCTGCCAGCTCATGCGCTGCGCTAAACTGGTGCAGCGCAGCACAGGGACTCGCTTTCACGGTGCCGAAAATTGCATCTGCACAGACGCAGGTGCCAAAAATCAGGTCTACGCAGACGCCAAAAATTACAGGCGGGCGGGCACGCTCATCCACACTCCGGCCCACGGAGGGATCTCTGCAGGTCCGATCCAGCCCAGGCAAGATAAACCTTGATGACCCCAGGTCTAAATCCTCTTTTAAAGCCGCCCAGGTCTCCTGCTCTACCAACTCAGCTGTCTCTCAGGACCTGGATTGGAGGTGCTCCCAAATGCACCAGGGCTGTTGTACCACATTTTGAAGGATGTGAAGTAGCACATCTTGCCATTTAAAAATGGGGTGGGAGAAGAAGTGGAAAGGGAACAGAGTGGCAGGGAGGAGACCACGACTGGCTGAAAGACAGAAAAGGAGGAATCCGTACGGCAACGTTTGGTTTCAGTCAGATCTCACTTCTTCAACCATATTTCTCCATTTAATTTCGATTTATGTAATCCCAGTTTCGGGTCAAAGTTTGAACTAAAGAAAAATTACACATTTCAGAAGGTGAAATGTTGCAATTCAACATTTGGCAGCATTTTATTTCTGTCAGCCTCAAGCTTGCACACATCTTTTCCTCTGGGAGGGACGACTTAAAAGGTTCCTACTATACTTGACTGATGCAGCTGTTCCGTAATATCTGAGGTAAGGCGTTTTGAGCCCAGGGGGCAAATGCAGTCCTTCAGCCTTCTCTGTCTGACCACATGCCTTCCTCAACCAGACCCACTCTACCCAGCCCTACTTCATACCCTATTTGAATACTTTTACCTAGCTGAATGTGTCCTTCACCTCCATTAATGCCTTAATTGCTCGGCTGGATTGGGTTTGTGAGTGTAGAAACAAGCGTACTGCACAAAAGTGAAATTTGCATTCATCAATCCATCCATTTTTGCCTCTGGCCCCGCCCACTTCTGGCACGCGGCCCCTGAAAGGTTTCCCATAGCGGAATGTGGCCCTCAGTCTGAAAAACGTTCCTCACACTTGCTTAAGAGTTACCCTATGTCTGTTCAACTGCACTTCATTCCTGTTGAATCTGGTGGCATTTGCTCCTCAGGCAAGACTTTACCACTTTGGGTTCTGCATTTGAGACCAGCCACCGGCCTGCGGCTCTGCCGGCACTTAGGAAGGCTGCGGCCCACTCCCAGCCACTCAGCGTCTATTTCTCCAGTTACTTTTACAGACACGCCAGTGGCGCTTTGAGAACGCGCGCAGCAGTATGCCAAAAGCCGCACCGGATTAAATCTTGCATATGCCGTCAGGATGCACACAACTGCTGTGCCATGTGACAACATGGCTGGAAGGCAGCCTAGGCCCTTCACAGGCCCTCATGCCCTTCAAACGAACAATCGGTTTTGAGTTATGCGAAGGTGGGGGGAAATATTTGTTGTATTTGGCGGGGACAGGATGCCCTCCGCTGCCCGGGCTCAGTGTGCCATCTAATGGCGGGTTTATGTAACTGCGCCCACAGTAGATTCCCTTTTATTTACGTATTTCTTTTAAAACCCAGCTCAGTATGACTGCAGAACTAACACCATCATGGCTCCCCCCCCCCTTATGGAATACTAGTAGATTTCTGGAAAAGGCCAGAGATCTCTAACCCAGAAGTCTCTTAACACCCCCACAAATCTGCAGCGATTCTTGGAGGAAGCTCGGAGAGTGAATCCAATTTAAAACTGGATTGCTTTTGTAGCATAATTGCTCAGTGACGGCGCAAACAACAACGGATGTTTTGAATCTGAAATGACAGTAAGTGAGAATCAGCATAAGCACTGCAGAGTTCACCAGGTTTGATTGTTTCCCAGGCTCATCTTGCTGGCTTGCGCTGCAAAAAGGTGTGTGAGCAGAAAATGCCGCAGACGTGACCTCATGTCTGTAAAAGATTATGATTTCTGCAGAGCAATAAAAGGGATGATTTCCCCCTTGCTACTACTTCCATGGCACTCGTCCTAAAATTGTACAAATGTGACCGAGGAAGGAACAGAGAAGAGACCTCCCGCTATTAAGAGATGAAAACGTTGGTTCCCTTTTCTTTGTTTCCAATTCTGAGCGCTTCCTTGCTCCCCCAAAATTCAGAGGAGAATTCAAAGGGGAAAGGGGGCTTTCTGCCCCACCCGAGAGCCTGTGGAAAGCTCCTTCCAAGGAGATAAAACTCCCCCAAAATAAAATAATTAATGTTTATTTTTAATTATTTTATTTATTTATTAAATTTGTATATCACCCATAGATCTCAGGGCGGTTCACAACCTTCAGCTATCTCCCTGTGGCATCAGGGGTAGTATTGAGCTATGTTTCACTCACAGCAGCCCCACTGAAATGAATGAGCATGACAAAGTTAGGTCCCTTAATTTCAACGGTTCTGCTCTAGAGATAGAGGAGAAATTCGGTTTAGTTCACGTTTAAAGCTGAGTCTATCAAATCTGTGCTTTCTAACATGAGAACCAAAAACACAGCCATCTTTCCCAATTTCCACTTCGAATTTTGGGATACAGTCCCCCAACCTGCCAATGTTTACAAAAAGGCCTTTATAGGGGGATAAAAATGCATATATTAGCGAAAATAACATACAAGAATGCATTGCATTTAAGGGAGATTTCTTGCAATAATGCGTAGTCAAAACCGCATATGTGTTAGAAGAAATTCACACTATAATCCTAGCACTTTAAAAAGTTATGGCTTTCCCCCAAAGAAACCTGAGAAGTCTACACTGAGTTGTTAGGAGACCCCTTTGCCCTCACAGACCTAGAGTGCCCTGGGGAGGAGGACTGATTCTTAAACCACTTTGGAAATGGGCTTTAAATGTATAGTGCAGATGTAGCCTTGGCTGAATACTGCTCTAGGTTAATAACACAAGTTGATCTACAAAGGCCTTTGATGAATGGTTATTATGCATAGTCTTTTGACTACATTGCCTGCAAAATGTTGCCTTTTCAGTCTGTTGGTTGGGATTGGCATGCAGGTAACTTGCAACTTTCACACATTTAACTTGAGCGCAATCTGCTTTATGGGCTGGACAGTGGAATTAAAAAGGGGGTGTGGGCATCCGGGGTAGGGAAACTTTGGCAATCCCACCCACCATTGCACCCAATGGGTTTTGACTGCTGTGTACTGCAGTGGCGTAGCGTGGGTTGTCAGCACCCGGGGCAAGGCAAGTAATTTGCACCCCCAACCCATGGATTTGCGCCCCCTAAACCGTGGATTTGCGCACCCTAACCCTAACCCCCAGATGTTGCGCCCGGTGCGGCCGGCCCCCCTGCACCCCCCACGCTACGCCACTGGTGTACTGTAGTCACTAGACACAATTTTGGCTTTATGTACTATCCCCAGAACGTAACCTCTGCTTAAATTAAGAGTTGCCTCTACTTGACTTATGCATGGATTTTGGAGTGGGTTGTGTGCTTGTTTCATTTTACAGGAGCCACCGTGAACGTTTATGTAAATTGAAAGCCATTCTCGGAATAAATCAAGATGAGGCAGTTTTTGAAACCATATTCCACCACGTAACTTGGTGCATACGTTTGCAAGCCAACTGGTCTCCCCAGGTTGCTCCACACATGCTCAGGGACACTGCGGTTTCTTAAAAACCATATGCTGCCTTTGTAAAAGTATGGAGATTAAGCATTGATCTGACTGGCCTAGTTCTGCCTCTCCTGACACCAGACCATCCCTTGGGGGGGCGGGGTCCTCTTCTTAGGGAAGAAACCTCTGCCTCCTCTTCTCCCTGGCTGAAGCAACACTATTCGCTATAAAGCGACCCTACTCGCCAGCTTCCTTTTTGAATCAGTTTCGCACGACAGACGCTCGTTCCCTTCCTCAAAGGAAAGGCGCTCTGCACATGCCTAGAAGCAATGCAGCGCAAGATGCAGCAACAGCAGCAAAAAGTCAGCGACCCCTATTTCGGTACTCTGCATTATTATTATTATTATTATTATTATTATTATTATTATTATTATTAAAGTCAAGAAATCGAACGGGAAGAAAGGCGCGCCTGCTGCGCCCTCCTCGACCCGGCTGCGCGCAATCCCGGCCGCGGCGCCTGCAGCGCGGAGCAATCGTGGCAAAGGCGGCCCTGCCCGGCCTGCCTCCCTCCCTCCCTCGCCGGCCCGCCCTCCCTGCCGCTTTGGGCGAGGGGCTGTCCCAAGCCGGCTTCCCCTTCCTTTCGGCGGTGACTGACAGAGATCGCAGCCAGTGCCCGCCCTGCGGAGGGGGGACTAACCCCAGCCTCTCCGGCGCAGCCCGGGAACCAACCTGGCGGCCACCTCCAGGGCAGGGCGAAGCGAGGCGAGCGGGGCTGGCGCGGCGCGCGGGCAGGGCCGGGCAGCGCGCGATGGGCGCCGTGGGACTCGAGGCGGAGACGCCGCCGCCGCCTCCGGAGCCCTGAGAGAGCGAGCGCCGCGCGGGAGGCGCCCCGGCCCAGGTAGCGGAGCCGGGCCCGGGGCGCGCCAAGACGCGCACAGCCGGCGAGCGGAGCGCGGGGCGAGGGCGGGGGACGGAACAAAGGGCGGAGCTGGAGCCGGGACTCCAGGGTCCCTTCGGGGAGGAGGGGGTCTTGCAGGAAGAGGGAGCCGGGATTCCCTTTCGCAGGTCCCGGGGCTTCGCAGGTCTCCTGGGTCCTCCCGAGGGAAGGAGGTCGGAGGATGAGGAGGCTCCGGTACTCGCCCGGGTCCCGTTAGTTCTCGCATTTGGGGTTGGGCTCCACCAGGCTTCCTAAGATCGGGGTGTTGTGGGGGGGGGGGTGCGGGCGGGAAGGTGGAGGTAGGACTCCTGGGTTCTTTTCAGAGGCCGGAGCCAGGACTTCTGGGAGCGGGACCGGCTATAGTTCTCGCAGATTAGGAGCAGGACTGCTGGGTTTCCTTAGGAAGGGAGGTGCGAGGCTGGGCTCCTCGGTGCTCTTAGAGGGCAAGGGAAAGAACCTGCGCCCTCCGCCCAAGATGTTGTGGGGCTCCAGCTCCCATCAGCCCCAGCCAAAATGGCCTGTGGTCAAGGGGGATGGGCGTCCCGGTCCCCGCAACCTCTGGAGGCCCTGCCGATTCTCCATCCCTGCCTTAGGGAGACAGAGCGTGGAAGAAGAGAAGCAGCACTCTTCTAGAAAGGAAGAGATAAAACTTCTTAGAATTAGGGCTGGGAGCCAGGACTCTTGGATTTATTTGCAGGGAAATGTAATTGGGAATCTGATGTGCCAGGGCCAGGACTTCTTGGTCCTCAGGAGACCTTTTCCTGGAAGAGCCACGGGAGAATCCTGAGAGTCAGAATTCCTTGGGATCTCAGGGAGAGTGAGTTTTATAGGCTCAGGCTAGCCTCCTAAGCGGGTCTCCCACATGCTTGGCGAAATGGGATGGCAACAAAGAAAGGCGAGGGGATGCGAGTCAAGGAGCCCAGCTCCATTGTGACATTTTAGGGGGGTGTTGGGGGTGAGGGGTAGAATTCGCTCCATCATCCCATCCAGTGATAGGATTATGTGTGGGTGGCAGGGAATGTTGGAGTGGGTGCTTAGTCCAAAGGACTGCCCTATACATTAGCAGTATGGCATATGTTGTGTGTGACATACAGATATGCATGGGTCCATACGCACTTGTGAACTCTTAGAAGGGACTTTTGTGGTGTGTCCGTTGGGGGGGGGGTGACACACCCTGGCTGTGTGTTTAAGCATGACCAGAATTGCTTCTTGCCTGTGGATTGAATCAGTTCATTCTTGGTGCATGGTGAGAAGTCCATTCTCCCACATCCCCTCCCATAGCACTATAGCTCAAGGTTCATCTGATGAAATAGATTGGCAGGAGATTCCAGACAGACCCGCCACAAAAAAGTACTTTATTTGAGGCACACACTTAGCATATGTATTTTGCTGCTTCTTGCTTAGATGTCTTTAAAAAGAGATTAGGAAAAGAAAAAATGAATGGAGCATAGGCCCAGTTCATTGTAAGCTAAATGAGAGCACTGTGTTCAGATTCTGCTTGTGGGCTTCCCAAAGGCATCTGTCAGGCCAGTGTGAAAGCAGGAGGCTGGACTAGATGGGACGTCAACCTGATCCAACAGGGCTTTTCTTCCATTCTTACGACACAATAGGAAGCAAGATGGGCCTTTGGTCTTATGCAGCAGGGCCTTTTCTATGTTCTGCAAACATCCCAAGTGGTTTCTTGGAGCAGCTGGGAAGCAGCGCATTACTTGGGAGGTGTGGCCCAGATGTGTGCATAACCCAAGTGCTTCACACGCACCGCAGCATCCTCTGAAACCTTGCAAGGGATTCTGGTGCATAATTCCCAGACTTCCCATGGTCTTAGTGGACGAACCTTGTCAAAGAATCCCTAAGAATTGGTACCAGGCAGCTCACAGGGGTTTGGTGCTCTGAATGGGCACATTTGAGTTGTGCCACATGGAGTTATCCAATGGAAGTGATTGGAATTAGATGCAGGAACCCTAGAATTATGGAGTTAGAGGGTCCCTGAGAGGCCAGCTAGTCCAAACCCCCTGCTTAGTGCAGAATCCGCAGTGAAGGAGAGCCCACTTTCTCCCTAGGGACGTCTTCCCAGAACCAAGCATCTCTCGCTGTTAGGATATGTCTCTCCTCCTGTTTAGCTGCTTCTTTGCAATTTCCACCTATTGGTTCTAGTCCTGCCCCCTGGGGTGACAGGACTGGCAAAAGGATGCCTGATTAACTTCTGTCATTCATCTTCATGGGATGCTGTGACGACTGCTGGCTTTCCATTGGCTTGTGGACCCTTAAAAATCTTAGGAGGCTGCCTTAGACCAGGTTAGACTAGTTGCTAATCTAACGCAGGACTGGCTACTCCAACTGGCAGCAGCTCTCCAGGGCAGAAAGAAGTATTCCCACCCCCCACCAATCAGCTACTCACTGATCATTTTCCTTAAAAAAAACAAAAACCCAAACCCCCACTATGCTAGGAATTGAACTTGAGACCTTTCTACTCTGAGCTACCATGCCGCCCTTAGGTCAGGCAAGGTCTGCCTAGCCCAGTACTCTTACTCCCAAGTAGCAGTGGTCTTGGGCAGAGATCATTAGCATATCCTACTTCACTGGAGATCCTGAGGATTGAACCTGGGACATTCTGCAGACATAGCACATGAGCTGAGGCTCCTCCCACCTGGCCAGGCACTTTCAGAATGCTGAATTAAAGGGACCTTTGGTCTGGCCCAGGAAGGCAATTCACGTGCTCTTTATCTTTTTAAATAAAGTGTCACTATATTATTCTCTCTGGCTCAGAGGCTCTGCAGATGACCTGTCGGCCGCGAGAGAGCAAGTAATTGGGCAGAAATGTGCATTCCGGGGCACGGTTACGCCTGGAACATTTTAAAACAGTAGTGCTTTGATCCTCAGAGGCAAAGTACTGCATTATCCTGCCCTATCACTAGTTTTTGCTGTGCCCTAGCTTTGAGAAGAGAACTACCACTTGCCCCGTGCTCCTAAGAAGGGTGTTCTCGTTCAGTGTGGAGAAAATGGATAGCAAGAAATTCCTTCCGCTCCCCACATGGAGATAAAACTCAGGTTTTCTCAAAAGAAATCGATTGGCAGGAGACACAGGAAGGATAAAAGGAAGCACTTTTTTGTGCAATGGGTGCTTCATCTACAGAAGGGGTTCCCAACTTCTGGTCTGTGGCGTGGCTGTGGATTTGTGGCCAGAAATGGGAGGCAGTGCAGTCAGTCATTGCCTTAAATATTTTCAAACGGTATTTTTATTGCTTCTTGCGTTTCTTACATTGTATCACAAGTTGAGTTCTGTGGAATTCGGGTTGCATTGCAGTAAAATAGGTTTGAAATAAAAGAAGCAATAGAAACACAGTTTTTAAGAATCGTACAGCGTCTAGCACAGTGCATCACAGTTGCTACAGCCAGCAGAAAAATCATTGAATGATCTGCCGTCTGAGACTCTTGGCAATTTGCAAGTGGTCCAGGGCTGGGGGGTGAGTTTGGGAATTGCTGGCGTATGGTCTTCCCTGCCACAAGATGGAGTGGTGGCCACCAACCTGGGTGGGCTTTAAAAGAGGATTAGATACATTTCTGGAGGAAGGGAGGGTCTACCAATGCCTGGTGTTCTGTCTACGTTTTATCTCCAGGCTGTGAGTGCTGATGTTTATGTGACCAAAATGCACAAGGAGGTCAGCAGGCTCGGGGCGGGGGGAGAGACCCCAAAGTTTGTAGAAGTACAAAAAAAAAAAAAAAAAACCATTTAGGGGGAAAAGGGGCTTTAGGATCCTGACTGACTTGGGGTAGGTTTGGGGGCAGAAAGAATGGCACAGAGTGTCTAGAATCCTGAAAAGCAGCACTCGGCACTGCAGCATTTTGCTGCAGGCCCAATTTTCTTTATTATTCTTTATTAAATTTATATGCCTCCTTCATCCGAAGATCTCAGGTTGGTTTGCAAGATAAAAATGCAGGATAGAAGCACAAAATAAATAGGTAAAACAAAACGATAACTCCCTCTCCCACAAACACATGTGAAAGGTCATAGAAACATTTAAAAGGACATAGGCACTGATTGAATTCCAAACTCCTACTGACCCAACACAACGGGCGCAGACAGTTCTCGGCCGCTTTGGGGTTGATCCCGTTCCCTACTGGCCTAATTCTCAGTGGTGTTTTGGCTTTATGTTTCAGAGAGGAGTCCTCTTGCTGCCGCATCATCACTTTGCCAGCGTTAAGGTAACATTTGCTGGCCGCCGGCCCTTTTCACCCTTGTCCGGCTCCCGGAGACGTGTGGATTGTCTCAACAGCCTCTTTTGACTGGCCCCAGTCAGCACCGGCCAGGGGATTCCTCCTCTTTGCTGAGGGGAAGATTAGAGGGGAAATGGCCGCCACACAGGAAGTGCCTCCTCCAGCGCTGGGCCTCCATTTTTTGTACCCGTTAGAAGACACGCTGCCGCCGCGGGTGAAGATGGAGGAGCCTGGTCCACCGTGCCCCGAAGCAGGGTGGGAATGGGACGCCGCAGGGAAGCCTCCCCTCGTCGTCCAGGCCGGCACCATTAGCGATTTACTGAGGTGGGCGACCCCTCCTCAGGTGAGAAGCGACCCCATCCCGCAGCTGTGGGAGGTTCAGTGCCAGGAGATGGTGCAGACCCCCGTGGCAGTGCCACCCCCACCGCCTGCCTGGGGGAACCTCCAACTCCCCGAGCTGGCACCCGTGGACGACATCGAGGCCTACCTGTCATCCTTCGAGAGGGCGGCCGAAACCTGCCAGTGGCCAAGGGGAGAGTGGGTGACCCGCCTCATGCCGGCCCTCAGCGGGAAAGGCCAGCCGCCCCACAACGGCCTGGACGCCAGGAGCAGCCGGGGCGACCACAGGAAGTCGAAGTCTTCCGGCCTGCGAGGGGAGGCCGGGCCCAGCGTGGAGATGCAGCGCCAGCGCTTCCGGCAGTTCCGCTACCAGGACTCGGAAGGCCCTCGGGAGGCTTGCCGGAGGCTGAGGGAGCTCTGTCGCCGCTGGCTGAAGCCCGAGAGCCGCACTAAGGAGCAGATCCTGGAGCTGCTGATCCTCGAGCAGTTCCTGACCATCTTGCCCCAGGAGATCCAGAACTGGGTGTGGGAGCGAGGCCCAGAGACCTGTGCCCAGGCGGTGGCACTAGTGGAAGGCTACCAGATGGGACGGCGAGAGGCAGGCATGTGGGAGCAACAGGTGAGGACGCTTTATGTCATGTTGACAGAGAGGTTTTATTTTGTGGACCACCCTGAGATCCTTCAATGAAGGGTGGTATAATAATAATAATAATTAATAATAAGGGAGCCTCCATCCACAGTCCCTATAGCATCCTAGTTCCCCCAACAACACCTCCAGAAGTTTTCTCAAGAATCCAGCAAGACGTTTCTGTATAAAACCCTTAACCAAGTGTTCAGTAAAAAAGGTAAAGGGACCCCTGACCATTAGGTCCAGTCGTGACCGACTCTGGGGTTGCGGCGCTCATCTCGCTTTATTAGCCAAGGGAGCCGGCGTACAGCTTCCGGGTCATGTGGCCAGCATGACTAAGCCGCTTCTGGCGAACCAGAGCTGTGCACGGAAACACCGTTTACCTTCCCGCCGGAGTGGTACCTATTTATCTACTTGCACTTTGAGGTGCTTTCAAACTGTTAGATGGGCAGGAACAGGGACCGAGGAACGGGAGCTCACCCCGTCGCGGGGATTCGAACCGCCGACCTTCTGATCGGCAAGTCCTAGGCTCTGTGGTTTAACCCACAGCGCCACCCGCGTCCCAAGTGTTCAGTACTTCACATAAATAAAGAGAGACAAGTCCCTGCCCCAAGGGGTGTACAGTCTAAAACAGTGGCTCTCAACCTTTTTTTGGCCATGCCCCATCTAAGCATATCTAAAATCCCTGTGACATATAATTCTTATTATTCAAAAAGTGAACTCCTATTCATGTGGAGGAAGGCTAAAAGGCCATTAACTGTTAATAACTCATTCTCAAATTGCCCCCTTTAAAAATCAAATTGCCCCCCTGTGGTGCGTGTGCCCAATGTTGGGAACCACAGGTTTAAAAGAACCATTGGCCCTACGTATGTTGCTGGAGCTACAACTCCCATCTGCCCCAAGAAGCATTAACAGTGGCCAGGAATTGTGGGAGATGGGCAGCATCTGGAGGGCAGGAGGTGATCCACACCTGGTCTAAAATATTTGAAGGATAACAAGGGAAGACAATTGAGAAGGGGAATGTGCAGGCTGGTGTTCACTTGCTCTCAGAAGGGTAGAACTGGAAAGGTACAGAAAAGGCCAACCTAAATGAGCAGAGGATTGAAGCATTTTCCTTGCGAGAAAAAGCTAAATAAAGCAAAAGGAGAGAAAGCTGTGCCCCTACAACAACTCCCACCAGTGTCCAAGAGTCAGGAGTGATGGGAGCTGGTCTAGCGATAGCTGGAGGGTCACGGTTTCTTCCTTCCTGTACTTTAAAGGTGATTGGGGGCAGGCCTTGAAGGAGGCTGTTTCCTTCCTAATGGCATGTTGTTGTCCCTCGTTGCCAGGTTACAGTACGGGTGAAAGTTGAGCAGGTAAGCCCGCAAGAAATGATTCTCCCTGGAGCGCCATGGGAACCTCCTGCCCCACTGCTGCCCCATCTTGACTGCTTATCCTCAACAGACGTAACACTAAACCAGCCTCCCCTCATCCCTGCTCTCAAGATGCCCTGCATCCCTAAACAGGAGCCCCGAGGACTTCAGGAAACAGGTAAGAAATACAAGAGGAGCCCCTGGTTTTAATGGAGGAGGCTTTGGGTCCAATGGGAGGTTCTGGGGATGTTTTCCTATGCATAGAGACTGAAGGTTGCTGGACCCAGTCCTGTTGGCTTTTCAGTTTTTACTTGCCTTTCTCATAAAACACAGGTGTGCTGGTCCCAGGGGGGATAAGGTACTATTACCGTAGCCCAAGATCAGTCCAGAGTCTCTAGCAGGGTAGACGATCACTAGATGAGACGCGAGGTCCGAGACAGGGAGCCGGGCAGGGTAACAGGAACGCTGGTAGGGCAGAAGCAGGAAGCCAGGCGAGGAACAGGAACACTGGTAGGGCAGAAGCAGGAGTCCAGGTGAGGAACAGGAACACTGGTAGGGCAGAAGCAGGAGTCCAGGCGAGAAACAGGAACACCGGATAGTCAGTAACAGAAAGCCGGGCGAGGAACAGGCACACTGGGAGTGCAGATCAAGGACTGGGTAAAGCAGGTACTCCACAACGACGTTGCTCCCGCAACCTGGGACCGGGCTGCCTGACCTTTATCTTCTTCTAAGGCCGGGGGCGGTCCCGGCCCCCAGAAGCCCCGCCTCTCTTGGCCTTAAGGCGAGCACTCCTCCTGGGAGACACCAGTTCCCTTCGCCTCTCTGCCCTAAGCCTCTGCAGATCAGGAGAGGCCGAGGGGTTACTGGGCCCCGGGGGAGGCTCACCTGTAGCCACTGAGTCTTCCAGCACCTCTGGGGCCAGAATGGTTTCACCTGGTGCCTGCTCTTGAGGTTCCTCAGCATCTAGGCCTTGCCCCAGTTCAGCCGGCCCTGGAGGCGGGGACTCCTGTGCCGGCTGGGATTCCTCCGGATCGCTCTCAGACTCGGAATCCCAGGCCATCACAACAGGCCAACCTGGTGCCCTCCAGATGTTTTGGACTGTGGCTCTCATCAGCACCAGAAAGCAACTGGCCTATAGTCTGGCTCATACACATGCAGAGTCTGCATTAGCGATGGGGAAACTTTTTTTAGCCTGAGTGCCACCTTACCTTCTGGACAACCTGTTGAGGGCTGCATGCCAGTGATGGTTGAAGCCAGTGGCCAAATTGGGCAGAGCAATAATCAGGGGGAAATGGGTATAAATAAATTAATAATATTAATAATTCCCCCCCCCCCTTTGTGCAGTAACCTGGTTTGTGTACACACGCACCTCACACCATCCTCCCATCTAGCCTAGTAAGAGGCCTTAGCAGAGGTCAAGGACACACGCTAGCCAGCCCAAAATCACTCAGGGAAGGGTGCAGAGCAGGACCAGAAGAGGGTGTGACTAGGGAGAGTGATCTGCAGTACAGGGTGGGGAAAACCTGTGGCCCTGTGGGTGTTGCTGGACTCCCAGTTCCCCTCACCATTGGCCATGCTGCCTGAGGCTCATGGGAGTTTGAGTCCAAGGAAGTCAGGGGGGTGGGGCCCACAGGTTCTCCATCCCTGCCCAAGAGCACCCCAGAAACGAAGGCGGCTTTGCTGTTTGAATAGCTTTTACGTTCCTCCGAAGGTTAAGCCTGCTTCCCTGCGGTTTCCACTCATTTGGCACTGCAGACAAGATGCACCCATTTCTTCGCACAGTGATTTAATTTCCAGAGCCCAGATGAGGGAGGGTGAATCCTGAAGAACAGCCATGCTAGTAACTCTGCACAAAGAGCATTTCAGCTTGACGTCCCTGAAATGCGAAAAGCGAGAGGCGAAGCAGGGGCAGCGATTTATTTGTGTCTCAAGACAGATGCCAACGATAACAGCGACATTTATGGGGACCAGGAAATAGGAACAGTCCCTGGTAAAGAGGGACAGTAAGAGTGCTTGCATTTTGCTTTCACAATGCCAGAGACAGGTTGCCAGCCTGGCTCTGTAGGCGGCAGACAGCGTGCTGGCAAAGTGTGGCAATGCCCTTCTCTTTTTCTTATCCCAGCAGGTGCCCTGATGGTAAACGGGAGCCGAGAGGAGAACCCTCTGCAAGGAGGTGCCATGGAAGTGGAGCCTCCCAGGGCGTTTCCGTCCGGGAATTCCCAGGAGAATGTTGCGGCTGAAAACCGTGGTGGCGAGAGAGCCAGCCAGCCTCGCGAAGAGAGGTGCGGTGAAACGGGAGAGAATCCGGCTGCACGCCCCGTCCCCAGCGGAGCCTCCCACCCGGCAGGAAAGCCCCTCCACCGGTGCTCAGAATGCGGGAAAACGTTCAGCCGCAACTCGCACCTGCTCACCCACCAGAGGATCCACACGGGGGAAAAGCCCCACCAGTGTCCCCAGTGCGGCAAGTGCTTCGGCCACACCTCCCAGCTGACCCGGCACCAGAGGACCCACGCCTCGGAAAGACCCTTCCGCTGCGCCCAGTGCAGCCGGAGCTTTTACCAGAGCTCGGAGCTGACCAGGCACCGAGCGTCCCACGCCAGGGAACGCCCTTATGGGTGCAGCCAGTGCGGCAAGAAGTTCCGCTGGAGCTCCGACCTCATCCGCCACCAGATCACCCACACGGGAGAGAGACCGTACAAATGCCCCGAGTGCGGGAAGAAGTTCGGGCAGAACTCGCACCTCGTTCGGCATCGGAGAACCCACACGACTTAGCGGAAGATCTTCCCCCGACGGAAGGAAACCCGAATTGCCCTGCGCCGAGAGTTCGCCGGGGGCCAAAGCGTGGACCGTGCTCACCGCCAAGTTTGGTGCTGTTGTGGGCCAGATGACTGGTGTCCCTTCAGCTTGACGTCTGCAGATCATTATCTGTCAGGGATGGCTTAGTTAGAATGAATTCTATTTACGTGCAAAGTGGGAGGGACAGTGTGGCTGGTTTCCGGTTCCCATTTTGTGTCTCGCCAGAAGCTCCACAGCACAACCAGACTGAGCGGTCCAAGAAGATGCCCAGTCTTGCTTGGCTTGGCTTCTTGAGCCGATAACATTGTGGTGGCACCAGCTGAATGTCTCTCTCTCTCTCTCTCTCTCTCTCTCTCTCTCTCTCTCTCTCTCTCTCAATTTTTCTCTTTTTTATAGGAAAGGCAATAGATCTTCTAGTCCTCTAGACAGGTTTATTGTTACATAACACAGCCTGTATTTCCGTATGCCAAGATCATACCTTTGTAGCAAAACAAAAGCAATGTATTTTTTAGAGAAGACGGTCCATTCTGTATTTGGGGAAGCGGGGAATCTTCAGAACAGTGGAGATCCCTCTTGGGGAAGCTGCTCTGGTACTTTGTTTTTTTCTGGGTGGTGGTGGAAATTACAGCTTTGATAAACAGGAGAGTTGTCAACACAGGGTTTCACTGGTATGGGAGTACACAAAGAGGAGGCGACAGTGACGGCACTGAGAATCTGGGTGTCTGGACGTTCTGGTAACAGGAGCTCTCCCCTGCCTCAAATGCTTGGGATTGGCAGCTGGCATTCAAAGGGCCCCACAGGCATTCCATCTGGCCCTCAGCGTTGCCCCCTGTCCCAGAGAAACGCCATCCCTTGCTACTTGCACACCTTGGCCTTTTCCTCCAATGTAGCAAAGGGCTCTTCATGTTCTGTGCAACAGAGGATTTTCCAAAGCTATTAACTTGCTTGACTCGTTTGTGAGCTCCCTTGTGTGAGTCAAAACACATGTAAATTGGAGTCTGAACAGGTGATGTGCGTAAGGAAAGCATCCCTGCCAAGGCCTCTGCTTGCTGTTCACACTCTGGGGTTACAGAAAGAGCCCTTTGCTGGTGAGGATGAGCCAGTGGGATGAGGCCAATGCTGCCAGCCCTTCAGTCCTTTCTTAGCATCTCCCTGTTGAAAATGAGGGACTGTGAGTATGAAGGGCCACAAGAGGGAGGAAAAGGGAAACTCCAAAAATCTCTTCCCAAAACCTCTTGAGTTCCTGCCATCTTAAGGGTGCTGCAAAGCCCACTCAGAAAGCCCACAATTCCCATTCATGATTCTAGTATAGTATCTTCCAAACCTGGGTCTCCAGCTGTTTTTGGACTACAGTTCCCATCACTCCTGACCACTTGTCCTGCTTGCTAGGGATGATGGGAGTTGTGGTTCATCCGAAGCAGGAGACCCAAGTTTGGGAAACACTGTTCTAGTCCACATTCTGTCCACTCTACATGATAGGCAAGGCTTGGGACAATATGATACTTTTAAAAATTCTCGTATGGCCTCCTTGCTTCTCTCCTCTTCCAGCCAACACCCAGCTAGTCAGTGAGTGCTCTGCTCTTCCCTCATTTATGCAATTTATTCAAACCCCTCCACACCCAAATATATGCAAATATGTTTTGATTTGCACCAACCATACTCGGCCCAGGCTTCATTGTCTCTTCATGCAGAATTTTTGAGTCCTCCCCTTTTAAAAAACAAAATATATGTGTCCTAAGGAGACTCCAGGAGAGCAGTGAAAGCTAAAAGCAGGTTTATTGGGGGCGGGGGAGGGACGTGGTTGAGGCTGCCACATCCAGGCGGCACTTCTGTGGAGGGCGCCGGCTGCTTCTTTGGCCTAGCTTCTCTGGTACTTGGAGGTCAGCATGACGGGCGGCTGTCGATGGAGACGATGACGCTGTTATCTAGGAGCCTAGACGTTGACGTCCATTACCACCTGAATGTCTGGGCTCAGCAGCTGCGGGAGAAGCGAAGGCAGGAGCGTTAGACGGAGAGGACGGAGCGGCGCAAAGGGGCGAAAGAGGAACCCAAGTGACGGGGAGGGAGAGAGACTCACCGTAGAGTTCAAATGCTCCCTGAGCAGGTTGTAGACAACCACGGAGCTCAGGTAGCCGAGGCCGCGGACGTCGAGGCGGCAGACGGGCTCCCTGAAGGGGCGGGTGCTACGGGAGGAGGGGGAGAAGAAGGTCAGCTTGCGGGAAAGGAGAGTAAAGAGGAGAAGGGTTGGGCAATGGCCTTGTCATCGGGAGAGGGTCCCTGCCCGACAGGGCGGGCTTACCTGACCCCCGCGCTGATGTTCTCCGAAAGGGACGGGATCTCGGCCCAAATCGGCTGCACGTGGCTCTGGTTGACTCCGCTCAGCACCATCCTTGCACTTCAACCTCTTTGGTGCCGTCGGAGACCGAGGAGCCCTTTTTATGCCGTGCATCGCTGCATTCATGCAAGACTTTCCCATAAATAGGTTTATGGGAATAAAGAGAGAAGAAGACTCCAAACAATAACTTGCAACATCAAAGGAAAGAATAACACTTACCCAATCTATAGCCTAGTGTAACTGGTAATGTTAAATATGTGGGAGACCCAGAAAGGATTATTAGGAATATATTTATAGGGTACTATAATATTCTTCCTTATTTCAGGATTGGTAGGAAATGGCCCAGTTTGGAACTGGGCCCCAGTTCAGGAGCCTTGAAATGTATTTCTAAACATCCAGCTTGGTTCTCCCATATATTTAACATCACCAATTAGACTGGGCTGAACTACAGATTGGGTAAGTGTTACGTTCTTTCTTTTGACCTTGCAAGTAGTTTTGAGTCTGTTCCTATGTTTATTCCATAAACCTCTTATGTCTTGCATGAACACTTCAGTCGTGCATATTTTTCAGAAGGCTGAACTAGATTCTCAGCCCCACCCGCAATATATTACATTTGGGGAGTTTGGCAATGTGGGTAGGAGTCAGATGCTCTTCATTGTTCAATATTTGGTGCTGGGTCCCGCAAACGGTGGGACAAGATTCTTTGGGTGGATCTCTAGGAAAAGAAACAGCAGCCCAGCCCCAATAGGAAGTTTCTTAAGAGAAATTGCTCAGTTTTCCATGTGACAGCTCTTAGGATATTTGAAGATGCCTATAATTTATGGGACGCAGGTGGCACTGTGGGTTAAACCACAGAGCTTAGGACTTGCCTATCAGAATGTCAGCGGTTCGTATCCCCGCGACAGAGTGAGCTCACATTGCTCAGTCCCTGCTCCTGCCAACCTAGCAGTTCGAAAGCACAAAGTACAAGTAGATCAAAAGGTATCGCTCCGGCGGGAAGGTAAACAGTGTTTCCGTGCGCTGCTCTGGTTCGCCAGAAGCGACTTAGTCATGCTGGCCACATGACCCGGAAGCTGTACGCCAGCTCCTTCAGCCAATAAAGCGAGATGAGCGCCGCAACCTCAGAGTCGGTCACGACTGGACCTATTGGTCAGGGACCCCTTTACCTTTATAATTTATAAGAGGGACGCGGTTTGGCGCTGTGGGTTAAACCACAGAGCCTAGGACTTGCTGATCAGAAGGTCGGCGGTTCAAATCCCCGCAACGGAGTGAGCTCCCATTGCTCTGCCCCAGCTCCTGCCAACCTAGCAAGTAGATAAAAGTATGTCAAAGTGCAAGTAGATAAATTGGTACCACTCGGGCGGGAAGGTACAGCCAGAAGCTGTACGTTGGCTCCCTCGGCCAATAAAGCGAGATGAGTGCCGCAACCCCAGAGTTGGTCAGGGGTTCCTTTACCTTTATAATTTATAAGCTAAACTTCCCCAATCCCTCACCTGTTCCTTATTAGGCTTGGTTACATTTGTTACATTGCACTTGCCATGTTACTGCCCATTCACTCATTTCGGAGGGGACCTTTTGGAGACCCCTTTTTCACTTCACCCCCCCCCCCTACAATGTACTATCATACTCATCTTTGGCCACCTCACTGCTCTTTCCTCACGCTGGACTGTTGATGAACAAGTTAAAAAGGAAGAAACCTCCTCTTTTCCCTCCCTGATCCTTGTGACTCCCCGTTCCCCTCACCCCACACCATTGGCCATGCTGCCTGTGGCTGATGGGAGTTGGAGTCCAAGGAAGTCAGGGGGGTTCCACAGGTTCTCCATCCCTTCCCTACAGCACCCCAGACACACAGGCTGCTTCCCTGTTTGAATAGCTTTGAAATGCGAAAAGCGAGCGGCAAAGTGGAGGCAGTAATTTATTTGTGTCTTGAGACAAACAGATGCCAACGATAACAGGGACATTTATGGGGACCAGGAAATGGGAACAGCCCCTGGTAAAGAGGGACAGTAAGAGTGCTTGCATTTTGCTTTCATGATACCAGAGGCAGGTTGCCAGCCTGGCTCTATAGGCAGCAGACAGCATGCTGGCAAAGTGTGGCAATGCCCTTCCCTTTTTCGTATCCCAGCAGGTGCCCTGATAGTAAACGGGAGCCAAGAGGCCTTTGCTTGCTGTTCACACTCTGGAGTTACAGAAGGGGTTAAAGAGCCCTTTGCTGGTAAGGATGAGCCGATGGGATGAGGCTAATTCTGCGAGCCTTTCAATTCTTTCTTAGAATCGCCCTGTTGAAAATGAGGGACTGTGAGTAGGAAGGGCCACAAGAGGGGAGAAAGGGGAAACTCCCAAAACCTCTTGAGTTCCTGCCATCTTCAGGATGCTGCAAAGCCCACTCAGAAAGCCCACAATTCCCATTCATGATTCTAGTATAGTGTCTTCCAAACGTGGGTCTCCAGCTGTTTTTGGACTACAGTTCCCATCACTCCTGACCACTTGTCCTGCTTGCTAGTGATGATGGGAGTTGTGGTTCATCCACAGGAGGAGACACAAATTTGGTAAACACTGTTCTAGTCCACCTGCTGTCCACTCTACAAGATAGACAAGACTTGGTACAGTATAATACTTTTTATTTACTCTTGTGTGCCCTCCTTTTTTTCCAGCCAACATCCAGCTAGTCAGTGAGTGCTCCGCTCTTCCCTCATTTATGCAATTTATGCAAACCCCTCCACACCCAAATATATGCAAATATATTTGGATTTGCACCAACCATACTCGGCCCAGGCTTCATTGTCTCTTTTGCAGAATTTTTGAGTCCTCTCCTTTTAAAAAACAAATATATGCAGCTCACAGCAAGCTGCTGTTATCTCAGAAGCCAGCTTTACCAGAGAGTGGCTGCCTCGTGGACCTACTAGACTGTCCAGTTTCTCAGGGCGGCTGTGAAGCTGAGAGATCTTATTTGAAGATTTTAACAGTGGGTAGCAGGCTCACCAAGTCCTAGACTAGTCGGGTAGTGAAGAGGGGAGTATTCTGCTGGTATAAACATCATCAGAGTTGTACCGATGGCTCAGAAGGGAGGACTCGAGAACACATAGGGTGGTGGTCAACTAACTCCTTCTTGTAGGAGACCCATTGAAGTTAACGAACCCAAGTTACCATGTCCATTAGCTTAAATGGGTCTGCTTAGAGTAGGACTTGTGTTGAATTCCACCCCTAGGATCAGCCATGTAGGACCTTATTAGGTCGTTTTCACAGTCATCATAATTACCGAAGCAAAGTCCAGGAATCATAAGTAACTCTTTTGGGAATGTTCTTATAATACGTGGATCTCCAAACATCTCACATATGCTCCTAATTTTATACCAGCAGAGGTTGGGCAAGTATCCTCGAGGAATAATTTGGGGGTTACTGCAGTGTCTGCCAATTTGTTACCTAGATGAAGTGGGGTGAGGGTGATGTGTGAAAGGGGCCAGTGCCAAGCAGCCTGGTTTCCTCCTGTGCTTTGGGTGCCAAGCAGCCAGGGGAATCAGTAGTCAGGCACTCTTGACTTCCAGGAGGGTGCTTGTGTGTGTGTGTGTGTGTGTTTGTGTGTGTGCAAAAGCCACAATTTTGGAGCTGATTTTCAGAATTTTTGGAGTAAAATTAGAACGCCTGGAGTCAAAGCGTGATTTCCCACTTCATGAACACACTTGAACTTGTATCACACACCCTCTAAGCCAGACTGTTAAGCTCACCATTTCATACTTGGCTGCAAGAGACTGCAAGGTGGGTGGGGCTGGTGGGTGCAGGTCTGGGCCTCCTCAGAGGCGAGCAGAGACCCACAAATTTGAGCCGGCCTTGGTAGCCAGCCAGAATTTGCACTTGCCACTCGCTTTACTTCTCCATGTAATGGGGGAGAAATGTCATAAGTGCAAGACGGTCTGAGGACTCTGTCCTGTATCTGAGTGGGGATTTCACCAGATTACAAAAAATGGTGTCACCTGTGGAGGTTGTACAATTCCTTCACTCCTTAGCTCAGGTGTAAACCAGCATATCAGCAAGTACTAACCATGCGAGTGAAAACGAGGCTCCACTCAAATTATGAGGGAAAAGATACAGGCTTAGTGAAATCCACAAGTCCTACCCATTGACTGTCCTAAATTTAAGTCAAATCATGCCCCCATGCTCCCCATAGCCGTTTAAGAACAGTAGCTAAGGGAGTGTTCACAAAAAGGAAGGGCCACTGGCCCACTCTGCCTCCAGTTTAATACAAGGACTGGCTCTGCTCCTACCACCATCTGCCAGGCCTTTAACAAGACCTAAGTTCCACCTCTTGGTCATTGTTGACAACCCAGTTACGTAGTAATTCTTTGTAGCTTTGTTTTATTTCAACATTTCTTCAGTCCTGGCTACTTGGAGGTTGACAGCCACTAGCAAAGTCTCTGCCATGGTAGAAGGGAGATTTCCTCCCACAAAGTCCTAACACCAAAGAGCAGAAAAGCAGTATCATCCAGTACCATGTTTGTTCCTTGGAATAAGGTTGCCCTTGTTCTTCATCTAGCTATTTGATTATGATTCTGTTATTCTATGATCTGAACAGGAGTGAGGAGCTAGCAGCCTGCAGGCCAGATCTGTCCCACCCCCATAAGCCTTTCCTACTAGAAACTGAATATTGGGGCTGGCCCAGTTGGACAGTTTCCTTTTTTAAAAAGAAGTTGGATTTTATTTTCATTTGTATGGATTAATTTGAAGAAATTAAACACCTCACATTTTTGTTTCTCTCACTGGTCCCCCCTCCCCTTTTTTACAAGTTTCATAACGTGCTCCCTTAACTGCATGCCTTTTAAAAACTCAGCAGCGAGGATAGATGGGTGAATATTTTATTGGAAGGATGCCTTTAAAACGAAATGTCGTTCCTCTTTTAACTGTCCTTTTTTGATACTGGATGGGAGGCTGTTCCTTGGTGAGAGTCGGGGGGCATGGCGTTAGGACACCTGGATCACTGACAGCAGCAGCTACCAGACCCTCCAATTGTCTAGGGACAACCCCAGATTTACAAAAGCCATCACAATTTCCGATTTGATTCTGGAATGTCCCATTTTTTCCCTAGGACTTTCGGGCCCCATCCCTGTTCTGAAAATTCTGTTCATCCACTTCATTCTTAGGCCCTCAGTTCCAGTACAGTGGTACCTCGGGTTACAGACGCTTCAGGTTACATACGCTTCAGGTTACAAGCTCCGCTAACCCAGAAATAGTACTTTGGGTTAAGAACTTTGCTTCAGGATGAGAACACAAATCATGCGGCGGCAGCGGGAGGCCCCTTAGTTAAAGTGGTGCTTCAGGTTAAGAACAATTTCAGTTTAAGAACAGACCTCCAGAACAAATTAAGTTCTTAACCCGTGGTACCACTGTAATACAACCTGTCGTTTATAGCACAATCTGCTTATTGCCTCAGTCCCAAGATGCTTGTTCTTCAGGCAGGAACTCTCAAAGTAGCAGCAGACAAATGCTGTGATGAGACCCCTCACAGAGCTACAATTCCCACAGTTCCTTGGGAAGTGGGATTGATTGTTAGCGCTCTTGGTATTGTAGCTCTGGGAGGGGGATAGGGGGGTCCCAACAACTCTCAAGGCCCAACTGCCGTTCCCAGGATTACTTGGGGGAAGCCATGGCTGTTCCAAGTGGTATAATAGTGTTTCAAACGTCAGGAGCCAGACTGACGAAGTTGGTGGTGCGTGGTTTTAATGCTGAGCCTCTGAGTCTGAGGGGCAAGTCTACCGAGCATTGAAGCCGAGGAGAATCCTTCTCTCCTCTCCTGAAGGGCCTCCAGCCTGTGCCTGGGCATTGCCAGCTCAAAGGAAGCCCTTCTTCAGAGGCAAAATGGTGTTTCCTGCCATCTTGGGCCCCTCCAGGCTTGCAAGCTCCCCTGCTATAGAGAGATTCTACCTTGGAAGGGACATTCCCGGGAGGTGGTGGAATCTCCATCCTTGGAAGGTTTTAAGCAGAAGATGGATGGCCGCCTGCCAGGGACGAGTTGGTTCAGATTCCTGCATTGCAGGGGGTGGACTAGATGACTCAGAGTGTCCCTCCCAAATCTACAATTATGTGATTTTCCTGCACCCCAGTTCTTAACCCGTGGTACCACTGTAATACAACCTGTCGTTTATAGCACAATCTGCTTATTGCCTCAGTCCCAAGATGCTTGTTCTTCAGGCAGGAACTCTCAAAGTAGCAGCAGACAAATGCTGTGATGAGACCCCTCACAGAGCTACAATTCCCACAGTTCCTTGGGAAGTGGGATTGATTGTTAGCGCTCTTGGTATTGTAGCTCTGGGAGGGGGATAGGGGGGTCCCAACAACTCTCAAGGCCCAACTGCCGTTCCCAGGATTACTTGGGGGAAGCCATGGCTGTTCCAAGTGGTATAATAGTGTTTCAAACGTCAGGAGCCAGACTGACGAAGTTGGTGGTGCGTGGTTTTAATGCTGAGCCTCTGAGTCTGAGGGGCAAGTCTACCGAGCATTGAAGCCGAGGAGAATCCTTCTCTCCTCTCCTGAAGGGCCTCCAGCCTGTGCCTGGGCATTGCCAGCTCAAAGGAAGCCCTTCTTCAGAGGCAAAATGGTGTTTCCTGCCATCTTGGGCCCCTCCAGGCTTGCAAGCTCCCCTGCTATAGAGAGATTCTACCTTGGAAGGGACATTCCCGGGAGGTGGTGGAATCTCCATCCTTGGAAGGTTTTAAGCAGAAGATGGATGGCCGCCTGCCAGGGACGAGTTGGTTCAGATTCCTGCATTGCAGGGGGTGGACTAGATGACTCAGAGTGTCCCTCCCAAATCTACAATTATGTGATTTTCCTGCACCCCAGTTCAGCCTAAGGAGACTCAGCGAAAGCAGTCAAAGCTAAAAGCAGGTTTATTGTGGGGGGGAAGGGGACGTGGTCGAGGCTCCACGTCCTTGGAGGTCAGCATGATGGGGCGGCTGTCGATGGAGACGCTGGCGCTCTTATCTAGGAGCCCGGACGTTGACCGCCATTACCACCTGGATGTCTGGGCTCAGCAGCTGCGGGAGGGGCGAAAGCGGGGAGCATTAGACGGAGAGGACGGAGTGGCGCAAAGGGGCGAAGGAGGGACCCATGTCCGGAGCCCCCGCCCGATGGGGAGGGAGAGAGACTCACCCTGGAGTTGACGGGGTCCGCGAGCAGGTTCTGGGTGGGCAGGGGGCTATGGTTGTCCTGGGCGCTGCCGATTAAGCGCAGGCTGAGGCTAAAGAGTAACCTGTCGTACACGTCGATCAAGGAGGGAGCTCTACGGGAGGAGGGGGACAAGAAGGTCAGCTTGCGGGAAACGAGAGAAAAGAGAAGGGCCGGGCCATGGCCTCGCCATCGGGAGAGGGTTCCTGCCCAACAGGGCGGGCTTACCTGGGCATAGCCTGGGCACCGATGTCTGCGGAACGGGACGGGATCTCGGCCCAAACGGGCTGCACGTGGCTCTGGTTGAATCCGCTCATCGCCATCCTTGCACTTCAACCTCTTCGGTGCCGTCGGAGACCGAGGAGCCCTTTTTATGCCGTGCATCGCTGCATTCATGCAACACTTTCACATAAATAGGTTTATGGGAATAAACAGAGAAGACTCTAAACAATAAGTTGGAACATAAAAGGAAAGAATAACACTTGCCCAATCTATAGCCTAGTGTAATTGGTAAGGTTAAATATGTGGGAGACCCAGACAGAATTATTAGGAATATATTTATAGGGTACTGAACTGGGAGCCAGTTCCAAACTGGACCATTTCCCCTGGAATCCTAATTGAATCACACATAAGCATATCAACAACATAAATATTCTTCCTTATTTCAGGATTGGTGGGAAATGGTCCAGTTTGGAACTGGGCCCCAGTTCAGGAGCCTAGAAATGTATTTCTAAACATCCAGCTTGGTTTTCCTATATATTTAACTTCACCAATTAGCCTGAGCTGAACTACAGATTGGGTAAGTGTTACGTTCTTTCTTTTGACCTTGCAAGCTGTTCTGAGTCTGTTCCTATGTTTATTAAACTTATTATGTCTTGCATGAACACTTCAGTAGTGCATACTTTTCAGTAGGCTGAACCAGATTCTCAGCCCCACCTGCAATATATTACATTTGGGAAGTTGGCCAATGTGGGTATGAATCAGATGCTCTTCCTGGGGGCCAATAGGGGCACATTGGAAGATGGCCGACAATAACATCTCTCCGACCCACACGAGGTAATTAAGAGGCTGTGATGGGAGTATGCAGCCTCTCTGCCCCCCCAAGGAGATGGGGGGGACTGCCCTTGCCTGCTGTGCCCACATATATCACCCCCGAACTTGAGGGGGTGGGGGCACTAGGCAGAAAGCCCTTGTGTGGACTTCGGCTCTCCTGGACGCTGTCTCTGATTCGCGCCTCTAGCTGCAGCAACTTCAAAAGAAACAGTTAGAAAGAAGCAAATGCACATATTTCAAGGAAGAATGGGGAGTAAAGACTGCTAATTGAAGAGATCTCTGATAAAGAAGACGGGTCGGAGAAACAAGAATATATCATGAGAAGACACTCCAAGGCTCGGTATGTCGGCAACGGGACTGGATGGGGGGCGGAAACTTTCCTTTCTTTCTTTATGTGATTTACCAATAATCCCCCCCACACAAGTCAGAAATGCCGTTTAAATGACCTAAGCTGGATGATTTAAGACTGTGTGGAGATAATTTTTAACCAAAAACATGTTTTAAGGAGACCGTGGAAAGTACAAGAGCTTTGGGATGACACAGTAAAAAACAGCGTCGCCATTTTGGCAAGTTCTGTCGAAAGACTTATGTCTGGGGGAGGAATGCATTTGTTTTCATACAGCGGGTGAACCTCCTCAGAGGACAGAAAGAAGGCGACAGCTTTACGAAGATTAATGATGGAAAGAGAGCTTTTATTTATGGAAGTGATGATACATGGAAACCATCTTGATAAGGTTATTGGACTGAACGGAAAAATTCACACAGGATTAC